CCCCCCGCCACGTTTGACCTATCGACCCGCATTTTTTTCTCCAGCACCTGACTGATAACGAGAAAGGCTTAAGTTTCAAATTTGAGCTCTTCAGACCCAGTGGTGTTCTTTCTCTAGGAGCGTCTGCACCGCCAAATGAATAAGGAAAAGAAAAAAAGTACAGTTTTCGTGGGCATTTCTTTTTTTCTAGCACGTGGCTTAACATGACTAGAATGAAATTTCTAAATAATTTTAAATGGAAAAGTACACCCATCTGAAGAGGAGTGTTTAGTCATTCAATAGCTATATTTCAGACCGTATAGTCTTTATCATGTGTATGCTTCTATATGTAAAATTCGGACACTATAATTTAACAAAATTTTTATTTTATTAAGCGATTGGTAGATAAAAGGGAGGTTACTATACTTCGAGTCTCTTCTGTTTTCAGTTCGAAGGATGATCATAAAATCGAAATATTTATTCGCCTTTATATAGACACGAAATACGAGAATATTAGATTTTTGAATTCATATTACTGTTAACACAATTGTATATGCAAGGAATGATCGGCGAAAATTTGTCTTTACAGCGACAGAGAGGCGCAAAAATCAGGAAATTCTGTGAAAAATCCAAGCCTTTTACATTAATTTTCGTAGCGACGCAACAATAAAACTCCGACAAATTGTTGCGAGCGGTCGATTATTGTTGTAGCGAGCGGTTTGATTTTCTGTTCGTGCGATTTGAAAGTGATTTATTTCAAGCGTTTCCTGAGTTTTGCATCATTTGCAGCGATTTTATCGGTAAGTTCAGACCACGAACTTTCTAAATTTAGGTATTTTTGAACATTGTTTAGCCGAATATTGCAATTAGTGGCAATGATTTTCCGACAAAGCTCCATTTAGATGACAATTGATGGTTTTAGTCACACAGACGACGAATGGGATCTTTCCGCTTATTTTGGGAGATAGTTTTCACCGTTTATATTGTTAATTTTCGTTAAGCCCGGATCCAATCGAATTGTTAAATATTTGTATTTGTTAAAGCAAAATGGGAATCAATAAATACATTAAATTGTTATTTCCCACTATGGTGTATATACCATATGAAATTCGCGCCGCTTTAATTAATTAGAATTTCTCTAATTCCACAAATACTTTGTGTAATGGCAAACGACAGAATTGCGTAATTTGTATAGACCGATTTTTTAAATTATATATCGAAGATTAGAATTATTATATTTAATAATTGAATATTTTATTATAATGTTGATTTCTGATTTTAAAACTTTTATTTTAATTAAAATCTGTCATAAATCTTGTCTGCATTTGAACATGAAATATTTATATATTTCCTACTTACAATTTAGATGAAATTAAGACAATAGGAATATTTCTTAATTAATGCAAGTTCTGTTTCCACAACATTCGCTCATTTTTCTTTGCAGAATGGAGAACTTCAAAGAATTAAAGAAGTGGCACACCTCGGGCCAACGGCCACGCTGAGCCCGAGGATGGCGCGTCGTCTTGGCCTCGTGTAATACGGGTGGTTCCAAAAGATGCGAAGGAGGAGTCGCATACGCCCGACGTCAAACGGGTGGTCGTCATAACTCCGAACGACACCGCCTCGTCTCTCGTCCATTATCTGGAGCGACGATATCCCGAAGTTGAGGAATGGACAGTGGAGACACGGTCACGTGAGACGGGACTGGACAGAAAGGAGTCCGAAGAAGCCGTGGAGAAGCACAAAAGGCCTTGGTGGAAAAGGTTGTTTTTTGCTGCTAAAAGTAACACTCTTTCTGCCGAACCGTCTTGCACGGATTTCGACTTTCCACCGAATGTGACACAGCCACCCGGAAGTGACCTTTCACCCGGCTACGACTTAATCAACCGGACTTGACTTTCCATTCCATTTTAAGAACTGATACTTGGACAACATTCGAGATTCGTTCTTTCACTTCGGTTAATTAATAAAACTTATTGAATTTAATACTAACTGTTTAAAGATTCGATATTTATTGAAGTTACACAATTTTAGATTAATGTATAATTAATAAGAATGTTTCTAACAGTTATGACCGATGACAAAAAAGAAAAAATGTACACAATTCATAATGAATCAAAAAAATTTAAATATTAAACGTAAACAGTAATTCCACTTACCATTTGAAGGCAGGACGTATGGAAGATATGTCGGGCCGTAACACCTGAACTCTTACCAGGTGTATGGGATGATTTAATCTCTAATATGTCGATTACATCGAACACATCTGAATATATTTTGCCTATGGTGCGTGACTTATGACACTGAATATCCAGTCAATTAGACTAGTCAAAAAATCGCACTCCGAGAAAGGTGTTGCCTATATTATTTTTCTCTTACAGATTTCGGAGTTAGTTAACTACACCGATGTCATCACGTAATTAACAAGATTAGTATACTACGAATCATTCTTTAGTTCTAATAACCAAATATATTGGCAAAAGAGTGGAGTTCCATGGGGAGCTTCACATCTAAAGTGTTAAAATATAGTTCAAAAACGGAAGGATTTACAAAAGTGTACTGTACATCCCTTCCAATTTAAATTATTCTTATCAATATAAACTAGCGGAATTTTGGGCACTCATCAGAAGAGCATTTTCATATTACGAGAATGTATTAGACAGAATGAAGGAGCCGAACAATTACAATAATGGACAAGACACTAAAAAATGATACTAACACGATAGAAAGCCTAATTAGAAGGTTTGAGAATAACAAAAAACAAAAAAAACACAGCAAACCTAGTGGAATCATGAAATTTATTTTTAACAGAGGTATAACTAACACAATGAACGAAATCACAGAACTTAAAGGACAAATCATTCCAGGGTTTGAAAATTATTTCGAAATTTAGAAATAATTGCAATTTATTCGTTTTAATAATTCCGTTTGCTATACAGATGTAAAATAATAATTAAAAAACTAACTTTTACATTTTCTTAAATAAAAATGTGCATTGAGAATGTCAAAGTATGTAGCTTACAGTATAAACAATAGAGTATCAAAAAATCTTTAGAGGGGTGCAGACAGGAAACAATACCCCCGCAAAATGTTTACTACCTGAGTTATCCGTATTTACTCGGGAAAAACCCTCAGAAGAAGGATGCAATTACCCATTGCGTAACAATCAATACCACCACTTAATATTTAAGCAATAAACTAATTGGCTGCAATAATGACATATGCAATAATTCCATTAAAACAGGTAATTCCATCATCTGAATAGCAACTAATTTGAATATACAAAATACTTTCGAACGGCTTTACCAAAGCTTTAAAATTGCATTTTGCTTAGTCACTATGATATGTAAAATTCCCTCAAAAATTAAATATTTCAGCAATGCGTTGATGTAATAAGAATGTTTTAAAATGATCTGTGAAAGATATTATAATTCATTTTACTATCATTTCTCCTGGTCATTCAATGTTAGTAGAAAGACATGTTTTTAAAGTAAGCTTTATATAAAATCATATATTTATATTATTAATGTTTACTTGAGGAAGCGAATATTATCGAAAATTATTTTATTTAAATATAATTATTATTTTACTTTTGTAGTTTTAAAATTCTACACAACTCAGAACACGTGTTGAAGGTCTTCCTTGTGTTTTTTACAATACTCTGTTTGTATGTAAATGCCGAGGAGAATGGAAATAAACCAAGTGAGTTAATAACTGTAATTTCTTGATTATAATTATTGATTAATCATAAAAATTTCGTGATTTTTATAGGAATTGTTAAAAGAATGATTGGTGGATCTCAGGTTAAAATTGAGGAATATCCATTTATGGTAAACCAAATACCAATCATTTTAATTTACATCGCTTGAAGTAAAAGTAATAATGTTTAATTTTCAGATGGCTCTTTTCATCAACCAAAATTCAAGTAAAATGAATATCACGTTTATTGGAACGTTCACATTAATTACAACAAGAACTGCGTTGGGAGCTGCTCACGTAACAATTTCGTAAGTTAATACGTAACCGTGACAGTTGTAAACTTAAATTTCTAAAAAAATCTTAATATAAAATCTCACATTTCTGTATTAATTTTTATTTGAAATTTTCATATAGTCATGCTGCTAAAAGTTTAGTTGGTAGTGTGGGACATGCAGATAAGTTCCGGGGACAGAGAATACATTTTTCAAATAAGATTGAGCATCCGAACTACACAGGAGAATCTTCTAAAAATGACATTGCAGTGTTAATATTACAAAATGATACTTCTGAATTCGATAGATTTAAACTTCCATCAAATGCCCAACCAATCGCTTTGCCACGTGATAATAAAACATACACTTTTGAAAGAGCATCAATGGTTGGGTGGGGTAGAACTGGACCAGGTAAGTACACATTTCAATTTTCCATCATATTTCAACGATGATAGAATTTACATGTAAAATAAACAGAAAAAGTATACATTATTTAAGTTGTCGATAATGTTCTCAAAATACATAAATATTTTCCTTTTCTAAGTTTTAAATTTGCTCCATAAATCAGTATCAAAATTGCATGAACGTTCATTATTTCATACATTGCACAGTTCCTTTTCTTATAGTAAAGCACTGCTGTTTCACGTGTAATAACTAAATGTTCCTTTAACTTATTTCACAAGAAATAATGTGTAATAGGTTAAAGGAACAGTTAGTATTTTGCCTAAATACATGATGAGATGCGGTTGAGCATACATTTCTCTCACACTCGTAAATAGATAAGCTTCATATTAAATAGTTTCATCTTGTTCCTACGGATGTTCAATGGTATACAAATGTGAAAAAGGCAATTCATGCTTATAGCTATTTCAATACAGGGTTCTGAACACTCGTACTTTTCTTTGCATTTATCTACTTAAACTTTAGGAATAAGTTGTACAAGGTAACGAATTCCGAAAAAGTATCTACAAATATGAAACAGATTGGATTGGATTTAATTTATAGAATACCGGGCGAACTGCCAAGGAAACTTTCTACAGGAAACTGGCCTCTATTTAGTGTTAGATACGTGAGAAAAACTCGTTGAGTATCAGCGAGGCGTATACCCGCGACCAACTACCGATAGTTTTATCTAATTAGCCACTGATCGGCCTAAAACAACTTGAAATCGAGCACTTCCTTTAAAATTCAGCATTGACATTCAGGTAATAAAGTCTTTGCAATCTCAACCATTGCTCATTTTTTATTTTCTGTTCAATAGATATGCTTTATTACTTTAAAACAGAAAATTTTCACTACATTTTTAAAACACAAAATAAAACTTTATTACATTTAAACTACTATTAAAATTAAAAATTAAATTATATAGAAATTTAAGGTTAAACATCTGGTTTCTACGCTAATACATTTATTGGTGTCATATTTATAAAGATATAGAAGACAGAACCCCCTTCCTCAGAGCGGCATATGCCAATATAATCAATACCACCGATAACTATAAATCAATGTCTCAATCAGTAATTGCCACACGAGAAGAAGGTGTATCCTTAATGTTCGTAAGTACAAACTTATATGTATTATAGTGTTTAGTATAATATAAATATATGTATATTCTATAAGCATGCAGACAAGTGATTTTTTTAATTTTAGGGTGATTCCGGTGGCCCCCTTATTTACGAATCCAATGACGGAAGGAAAATACAAATTGGTGTTGCAAGTACAAGTCAGGTACGTCCTGGTGGAATTAACACATTCATGTCGACAAGTTACTTTATTGACTTTATAAGAGAAAACTGCGTAGGAGAATTGACATTTGTGTAAATAACTTAGATAAATTCTCTCTTACCTCTGAATCATATACAGGACGACCAATACATTTATAATCGTAAAATTTGAACTTACACCAGATCAACGTTTTAAACAATAGTAACCACGTCACATAAATGTCTTCCATTTTCAAAGTACCAATAAAAACGTCGGTCTTAGGTCAGAGTATTTGGAATTGAAAATTGGGCGAGCTATCCGAATATGCCAGACACCGCTTTTTACCATTGTGAGTGAGCCGTGATGGGTTTTATTAAAAAGCTTTTGTCTTTTCAAAGATGGAATTACAATGCAACATATCTTAATCAACCCACAAATAAAGATTTCTGGTCTTATCCAAAGTTGATTCATAGCGACAACGTAATGCCTTCATTGCCTCAGCCATCCGGTTGTCAACATTATTAGTTATAAAATAAACAGGCAGCGAGTTGCTCAACTTTCCCGGCAACTTTTTTAAAATTACGGTGGCTTCATTTTTTATCGTATTATAATATTAAAACAACTTTTTACATTTTAACTATTATAAAATGGAAAAAAAANGATTTTAAAAACTTTAATATAAACAAGAATAAACATCTATTTATTATTATAATTTCAATTATTAAAACAAGGCTTTTCGTACATCGAAAACGAAAAGTATCAGCTTCGCTATAATCCATCCTACACATACTTTTTCACGTTTATATAATTCAAAACAATTTGTTTTTATGTAAAATAAAATTCTTAATATAATCACGCGTTTTACTTTAAGTAATTGTAAACAATATACTGTACAGTACTTTAAAATTTTATTACTTAATCCACTTTAATATATATTTTATGAATCCCATTATTCTGAGATTGTTTTCATTCCAGATAAAAATATGAAAAATCGATTTGTTATAAATAGAGTGGATCCAAATGTACATCGATCCGTTATGTAAATAGAAGTGCAGTGTTTCTGGTTGTTTATAATTTTTAACTACGGTGCGCGCTTCTTCGCTTATAATCGCGTTATTATAAAGCGAATAACATCTAAAAAACTGAAATTTGACCGAAAATAATTTAATTTCTTTCATTAGTATTTTTTAATCATTTTATAAAGTTTTATAACACCATCACATTTCCCTGAGTTGAAGTAAACAATTTGTTAGCCATTTGACCCTCAGCTGACAGAGAAGGAAGTTTTTGAAAACAAAGTAATAAAGCGTTTAGCAGTTTGTTGTTTTTNAAATCAGTATCAAAATTGCATGAACGTTCATTATTTCATACATTGCACAGTTCCTTTTCTTATAGTAAAGCACTGCTGTTTCACGTGTAATAACTAAATGTTCCTTTAACTTATTTCACAAGAAATAATGTGTAATAGGTTAAAGGAACAGTTAGTATTTTGCCTAAATACATGATGAGATGCGGTTGAGCATACATTTCTCTCACACTCGTAAATAGATAAGCTTCATATTAAATAGTTTCATCTTGTTCCTACGGATGTTCAATGATATACAAATGTGAAAAAGGCAATTCATGCTTATAGCTATTTCAATACAGGGTTCTGAACACTCGTACTTTTCTTTGCATTTATCTACTTAAACTTTAGGAATAAGTTGTACAAGGTAACGAATTCCGAAAAAGTATCTACAAATATGAAACAGATTGGATTGGATTTAATTTATAGAATACCGGGCGAACTGCCAAGGAAACTTTCTACAGGAAACTGGCCTCTATTTAGTGTTAGATACGTGAGAAAAACTCGTTGAGTATCAGCGAGGCGTATACCCGCGACCAACTACCGATAGTTTTATCTAATTAGCCACTGATCGGCCTAAAACAACTTGAAATCGAGCACTTCCTTTAAAATTCAGCATTGACATTCAGGTAATAAAGTCTTTGCAATCTCAACCATTGCTCATTTTTTATTTTCTGTTCAATAGATATGCTTTATTACTTTAAAACAGAAAATTTTCACTACATTTTTAAAACACAAAATAAAACTTTATTACATTTAAACTACTATTAAAATTAAAAATTAAATTATATAGAAATTTAAGGTTAAACATCTGGTTTCTACGCTAATACATTTATTGGTGTCATATTTATAAAGATATAGAAGACAGAACCCCCTTCCTCAGAGCGGCATATGCCAATATAATCAATACCACCGATAACTATAAATCAATGTCTCAATCAGTAATTGCCACACGAGAAGAAGGTGTATCCTTAATGTTCGTAAGTACAAACTTATATGTATTATAGTGTTTAGTATAATATAAATATATGTATATTCTATAAGCATGCAGACAAGTGATTTTTTTAATTTTAGGGTGATTCCGGTGGCCCCCTTATTTACGAATCCAATGACGGAAGGAAAATACAAATTGGTGTTGCAAGTACAAGTCAGGTACAGTACGTCCTGGTGGAATTAACACATTCATGTCGACAAGTTACTTTATTGACTTTATAAGAGAAAACTGCGTAGGAGAATTGACATTTGTGTAAATAACTTAGATAAATTCTCTCTTACCTCTGAATCATATACAGGACGACCAATACATTTATAATCGTAAAATTTGAACTTACACCAGATCAACGTTTTAAACAATAGTAACCACGTCACATAAATGTCTTCCATTTTCAAAGTACCAATAAAAACGTCGGTCTTAGGTCAGAGTATTTGGAATTGAAAATTGGGCGAGCTATCCGAATATGCCAGACACCGCTTTTTACCATTGTGAGTGAGCCGTGATGGGTTTTATTAAAAAGCTTTTGTCTTTTCAAAGATGGAATTACAATGCAACATATCTTAATCAACCCACAAATAAAGATTTCTGGTCTTATCCAAAGTTGATTCATAGCGACAACGTAATGCCTTCATTGCCTCAGCCATCCGGTTGTCAACATTATTAGTTATAAAATAAACAGGCAGCGAGTTGCTCAACTTTCCCGGCAACTTTTTTAAAATTACGGTGGCTTCATTTTTTATCGTATTATAATATTAAAACAACTTTTTACATTTTAACTATTATAAAATGGAAAAAAAAAACTTAATTTTGAGGGTAGAGATGAGTTTTATTTGATTGCAAAACGATTGTAAATGCTAATAACGAGTAAAATCGTCATTAAGAGAGATACACACGACCCCCTTTATCTTTTCATCCCTTGACTGTTAATCACCGAAATTTAATAGCAACAATTCCCCTAATACACAAATCTTCCTAACAACGTTTTACATGAATAATTATTTCGTTGTGGAAAGTCATGATATCAATTATTCGAGTAATCGTTCCGACGTCAAAAACCATAATACTGGTGTCAAGAATTTTTATTAGCTAACTGTCCAATAATATTTTAACGTTTAGTTTAAAAATTTTTTTATTATTTTTTTAAATACTCAATATTTTTAAATAAAACTTTCAAAAGGACCACATAAAAGGTTTCGAAAGAGCTATTAAGTAAACAGTACGCGCACACCTAGATTGCTTTGTAACTCGGTGTCGCTTTGAACATCTAGGTGACATGAAACCGATTGCATCAGTCGAAAACGAACCAACAAATTTATTCAAAATTTACGATATACATAGTACTCATTGAGGATACTAAACATTTTAAATTCCATCCAAATCGGTTCATTGGTTTTGGAGATATTAAAGGTCATATTTGGCACTTTAACATTTATTATACATTTGGGATAGCTCAACTATAGATGGAAATTCTATTTTAATCACTGAGTGCGTTAGCATTCGGTAGTTAACATTTTGTGGAATTGTTAAAAATACTGATTTAAATCAAATAATAATCGAGTAAGAGATCGATGATACAAAGAAAAAAATTAAGATATGTTTAAGTTAGAAATATGCAAATAGAAACAGATAAAGACATAAAGACAAATGACAGAACATAACTAAAAAAAGTATTATATTTTCATGTATACAGAGCACTTACCATCGTAAATCATTTATATTTGAAAATTATTATTATTCTCTCTATTTGACTATAATGTATAGAATTACAATTTCAATTTGAAAAAATCCAATAAACTATGACACTCGTTTATGACTGGGAAACAATTGACGAAGTAACAGCTAACAACAGACCTTTTCTTGTAGGCTACAGTTAGAGTGGAATCTATTTCGATAATGCCATTCGGAAGCCATTCATTTACTTTTTATTAAATTCGCATGAAATCTTGCAAATACAGAAATTAATAATAAAATAAATTTTGTCAAATTCACTTAGTAGTATACGGATTTCAGTTACGAATATCACTGATGGTGGCCTATTAGGTACAACCAGTAAACACCGGTTAAAACCAAGTGGCAGTGGGTTCGCACTTAACAAATTGCAGGTTTATGGGATTTTTTGCATCTTTTACACTGAAATAGCGACCAATTTCTTACGTAAACTCTTCCTTGGAGATGTACACCTTCGGCAGATCGCCAAAGGGTTGCATTGTCTTATTCCATCAATTTAATTCAATCAATTGCAGATCTTATAAAATTCATTTTAAAGTTCTAAACATCCCATTTTTATTACATACTTCGAACTCTTTACTCCAGTGAATAATTTCGACAATGAAATGTATTAATAATGTATTACGCACAAAATTCACCATACAAAAACTTTCATTTCAAGTATATTTTCGTTATTCGAGTATTATTTTGTTCTTATTTTTTTATAATTTCTTACCAATTTATTCCATATTATTTTATTTTATAAATTAAATAAATTACTTCTGTTAAATTAATTTGATTAGTTGAAATATCATTAACATAATATTAAAATCCCACTTTTACAATAAAGAGAAATTGCAGCTTTACTCTAATCCATCTTCCACTTTCTTTCCTACGTTTATATAAATATAATTAACTGAATAAAGTCCAGATAGCTTCAATTGACCAATCCGTTGATGAGGTGCGAACCCACCATCAGCTACTAATGCTTAGTAGTTCATTGAATCGGTCACTTGTAGGCACAAAAATGTATTAATTGGGCAATGTAAAACCTGGACATATATACCTGGACATTATTTTTATCTTTTAAATTATAATAAACAAATACTATGGNTATATTTTATATATAAAATGCGAATAAAAAAACATAAATGCGTAAAACTTAATAAAAAAAATATCTGCAACTTCAGAAAACACATATATATGAGAATCTATCAAAAAAAGAAAGTTATTAAGAATTAAAATCGAGAAAAAAAATAAAACTTTCAAAATAAGGTAATTTCTGTGGTAAAAAGTGAGGTAAGCGATCAAGTGACGCCCGTCTTCCCATCGTCTGTAACCAAAACGGACGAGGGTGAAATAAAAGCGGAAACACCAGTAGAAGTAAAACCAAACATCAGCGCGTATCTCTCACTATATATTTGAACGGGAGCAAAGATGAAACACCACACTTTGTAATTTATGCTAATTACCTTCTAATATTAAGTAATTTTGAATATCTCCTCCAAATAACAATTATATAATTGCTTTCTTAGTGTTCAAAATTTCAGATTTTTAAATAAGTAATTAAAGTGCAAAAATATAATTATTTAAAGTGCAAAATATAATTAATTAAAGTGCAAAAATTTGCCGAAAAGCTGTATTTCTTATTATTATTGTTCATTCGGCACTGAAGAATCTTCTGGAGTAAGGGACGCCAAACACGGCCCGCCGACCTGGTCAGTTCATCCGGCCCGCCGCCGCACTGTACCACAAATGAGCTAAAATATAATTATTTATTTGGAAATATCATAGATTATAGATAATCTTACTGTAAGGCATATGGCGATCCGACGAAAGGCGGAGAAGGCTCACTGAGTCCCGCATCTTTAAGGCCAGCTCGAGTAAAGACAAAAGACGGTGAAGCATACAGGGCTCTCTCTGTCCCGTTTCTTTAACTTCTCTGTCCCGCTCGAGTGAAGAGGCCGACCGGAGTTTGAGCGGACTTTCTGTCTCTCGCTGTATTAAAGTTTCGTTTGTAAAGATTTTATCACCATAATACTTGTCACATAACCTAATTTGTCTGTATTTTTAATGAATTAAAACGGTATTGCTGTTCTTTAAAAAGAATCAGGTTACAAAAATAGTTATTTAAATTAATTTGCTTTTGTGTAAATGGAAATTATTAAGTCGTGATTCGCATTTAAACTGACGTGATAATAGCCGGACATTAGGCAGGTTTCTAAATGCTATTTGTAAGTTGAAATAATTTCAAATAAATATGGACAATTATACATTTTGGATTTAAAGAAAATTTTATTTCAAATGAAAAAACTTACTGTTATGCATATATAATTTCCCTTATGAATATATTTTACTACTGTGTACGTTTTATATATTACAATAGATTAATTATACGAGTTTTCTAAACAGGTTTTAATTTCGACATATACATTTATTGTTCTTGCGCTTTGTTTTTAAATAATTTACTTAATAACCTTTTAAAATTTATGCGGTCCACCGTTGAAAATCACCGTCTATACCAGTGATTTTCAACCGGTGTGTCGCGAAAATTTACCAAGTTATTTTGTCTAAATCGAAAGAAGACAGAATCATATTAATGGGCAGAAAAAATCTGTTTATTTGTCTTAAAGAAATTAAAGTCTTCACAAATATATATTTTAAAATTAATTTAAGAATTTTTGTTTTTATTCAAAACACAATACCAAACAGACCATGAAATTTATNGGTCTTCCTTGTCTTTCTTACAATACTCTGTTTGTATGTAAATGCCGAGGAGAATGGAAATAAACCAAGTGAGTTAATAACTGTAATTTCTTGATTATAATTTTTGATTAATCATAAAAATTTCGTGATTTTTATAGGAATTGTTAAAAGAATGATTGGTGGATCTCAGGTTAAAATTGAGGAATATCCATTTATGGTAAACCAAATAGCAATCATTTTAATTTATATCGCTTAAAGTAAATGTAATAATGTTTTATTTTCAGATGGCCGTTTTACTTAACCAAAATTCAAGTAAAATGAATATCATGTTTATTGGAACTAGCACATTAATTACAACAAGAACTGCTTTGACAGCTGCTCACGTAACAATTTAGTAAGTTAATACATTACGGAGATGGATGTAAACTGAAATTTCTAAGAAAATCTCATTATAAAATCTTACTCTTTTAAAATTACATTTATTTTTATTAACCTTTGTTTGAATTTTTCATATAGTCATGCTGCTAAAAATTTGATTGGGAGTGTGGGACATGCACATAAGTTCCGGGGACGAAAAATACATTTTTCAAATAAGATTGAGCATCCGAACTACGTAGCAAAATATTCTAAAAATGACATTGCAGTGTTAATAATACAAGACGATACTTCTGAATTCGATAGATTTAAACTTCCATCAAATGTCCAACCAATCGCTTTGCCACGTGACAATAAAACATACACTTTTGAAAGAGGATCAATGGTTGGGTGGGGCAAAATTGGACGAGGTAAGTACGCATTTCAATTTTCCATCATATTTCAACGATGATAAGATTTATATGTAAAATAAACAGAAGTATACATTATTTAAGTTGTCAATAATATTCTCAAAATACATAAATATTTTCTTTTTTTAAGTTTTAAATTTGCTCCATAAATCAGTATCAAAATTTCATAACCGTTCATTATTTCATACAATGCACAGTTCCTTTCCTTATAGTAAAACACACAATACGGAATAAGTTTAGTCATCTATTACGACAACATAATCCTTCGTTATGATTACAAATTAGCCATTTCCTGTGTAATAACTGTACAAGTTAAAAGAACAATTAGTATTTTGCCTGAATACATGATGAAATACGTTGGGTAGGAAAGCATAGAGACACCGTATTCTGTCCTGACCAACAAAATGTTGGTCAGGACAGAAATGTTTTATTGTCACGTGGCAAAGCGTTAGGTTCTGAAAAGTTGTAACTGGCTCCTCTATTCTCTCACACTTGTAAATGTATATGCTATAAGCATTGACATCCAAGTAATAGAGTCTTTGCAATCTCAATCCGCTCATTTTATTATTTTCTCTTCAATATGTATGCTTTATTGCTTAAAAAAGAAAATGTATATAAAAAAATACATTGTAAAAAATACAAAGTATGAACGACAATACGAATAAATCGAATTGTTCCTGTGATGTTGAAACAAGACAAGAATATTCGTGTGGTCTTTAATTCTTTGTATTTTATATAAATATATTACGTCCTGGATTTTAGAATTTTGCTTTACATTTTAAAAACATGAATAAAATTTTATTAAATTTAAACTACTATTAAAATTAAAAATTAAATTATATAGAAATTTAAGGTTAAACATCTGATTTCTACGCTAATACATTTATTTGTCTCATATTTATAAAGATAAAAAAGACGTAACCCCCTTCCTCAGAGCGGCATATTTCAATATAATCAATACCACCGATAAATATAAATCAATGTCTAAACCAGTAATTGTCGTACGAGAAGAAGGTGTAACCTTAATGTTCGTAAGTACAAACTTATATGTATTATAGTGTTTAGTATAATATAAATATATGTATATTCTATAAGCATGCAGACACGTGAATTTTTTAATTTTAGGGTGATTCCGGTAGCCCCCTTATTTACGAAGCCAATAACGGAAAGAAAATACAAGTTGGTGTTGCAAGTACAGGTCAGGCACGTCCCGGTGGGATTAACAACTTCATGTCGACAAGTTACTTTATTGACTTTATAAGAGAAAACTGCGTAGGAGAATTGACATTTGTGTAATTGTAAATAATTCAGATAAATTTACTCTTACCTCTGAATCATATTTTAAAATATCTATAAAGTCATTCTTCTGTATTGTCAAAAGTATATGTCTTTATTGTAAACGTATTTTTTTTATAAATAATAATTATTATTATAATAATACTTCATTACTTCCAAAAACAATTCATGTGTGTTCAGTACGTGCCTCAATAGTTTTGGGTGTCTCTTAAAACAAATCCTAATTATTGAGCTGCAATTAGAAAAAATTGTAAACCTATAAATTTTCATTGCCATCTGTCTGTCTGTCTGTCTTTCTTTTATCTCATTCTAGACTGGGAGTTATTTGAATTAAATTTAAAAGTTTTTTCCTGAATGGCGTTAAATAATTAAAATGACTCTGTTCTTATCAGGAAAAGTATGATGTACAGGGACAATACATTATTAATTTGAGATGGAGAGCATATATATTAAATTAAAGGACAGTTTTAATAATTAATACTATGTTTTGTTAGATTTGACTACTATTTGTATATCTGATAACTGAATGCACTTTATTAACCGCGTGTATTTTATAATCGATAAAGACATCAATAATTTATGATAGAAAACAATAAAAGCAAACAACCAATTTAATATTTGAAAAGAAAAATCATTCATGTAGAGAACATTTAACTTGCACCTCTAGAAGTTAGTAAATATAAACATTTACTGACATATAGAACCCAATTTGCATGACGGTATACATCATAAGAAAGTGTACGTCGAAAGCAGTTCCATTTTCTATTGAAGTTTTGCCGATAATAATCAATATTTTTGTAAAATAATGAATATTTATGAAATATTATATAAAATTTACAGTGGTTTAATAAAAATTTTACTGCTGCTTGAACAGTATAATTACTCTGAGTTCAAAATGGTGCCGAAATTCATACAACCAAACATTCAAAGTTTTCGGCTGTACAATTATGATAAACTTTTATATAAAACAGTACAACATATACTCCAAACTTTTAACGTAGGTAGTTTCGGGCAGAAAAGCCCATCAACAGACGGTCAAACGTATTACCAAAAGATTATTTACAACACAAAACAAATCATTCGATTCCAACAGTTTAGAAACATCACAGTTGAATATTATCAGATTAAAATACTAAATTTAAATTTAAGAGTTACATTAAGTTATAAATATGCAAATACAGATAGATTAAGACATAAAGAAAAATGAAAGAACATTACTACAAAACGTATTATAATGTCATAAATAGATACATATTCATATACAGCACTATCCGTCGTAAATCTTTTATATTTGAAATTATTATTAATTTATTTGATTATAATGTATAAAATAATAAATTCAATTTGAAAAAATCCAATAAACTATGACACTCGTTTATGATTGGGAAACAATCGACGAAGTAACAACTAACAACAGACTTTTTCTTGTAGGCTACAGATACAGAGTCGAATCTATTTCGATAATTCCATTCAAAAGCCATTCATTTACTTTTTATTAAATTTGCATGACATCTTGAGAATACAGAAATTAATAATAAAATAAATTTTGTCAAAGTCACTTAGTAGTATACGGTTTTCACTTACGAATATCCCTGATAGTGGGTACAACCAGTAAATACCGGTTAATATCAAGTGGCCGCGGGTTCGCACTTGAGGAATTGCAGGTTTCTGAGATTTTTTGCATTTTTTACACTGAAATAGCGACCAATTTCCTTGGAGATATAGACTACACTCGGCAGATCGCCAAAGTGTTGCATTATTTTATTCCATCAATCTAATCCAATCAATTGCAGATCTTATAAAATTCATTTTAAAGTTCTAAACATCCCACTTTTTATTCCATACTTGAAATTTTTACAGTAATGAATAATTTTGACAATTGGCCGAGTGGACTCCGTCTCCGCTTCCAGGTGGTGACCAGACCCTAAACACCGGAGTTCGATCGGGGGTTCGCGTCTCACTCGGACGAGCTGGCAGCTGGAGTTTTTCCGGGTTTTGCTCCTTGCCAATGACGCCTGAATAGGGACCAGCTGTCCCTCCAAGTCCTCCCGGAAGGCATTTTGTCTCCCTTTCTCGCGGGGGTCGTATCTTATAAGGCCGGCTTTGGTTGCTTAGTGACCTCTCTCCTGTCTTTCTCGGATTGGTCGTCTTCTATAAGACTACCTCTTCCTAACTGTTTCTTCCGGAGTGAAAAGCGAAAAGCAATACCACTCCTCTATCGTCCATGGAAATAATTTTGACAATGAAATGTATTAAAAATGTATTACGCACAAAATTCACCATACAAAAAACTTTCATTTCAACTATATATTCTTTATTCGAGTATTATTTTGTTCTTAATTTTTTACCAATTTATTCCATATTATTTTATTTTATAAATTAAATACATTACTTCTGTTAAATTTATTTGATTAGTTGAGATTTCATTATCATAATATTGAAATCTCGCTTTCACAGTAAAGAGAAATTGCAGTTTCACTTACTTTCCCACGTTTATATAAATATAATTAACTGAATAAAGTGCAGATAGCTTCAATTGACCAATCCGTTGATAAGGTGCGAACCCACAGCCAACTATTAATGTTTAGTAGTTTATTCAATCGGTCACTTGTAGGCAGAAATATACACCTAGACAATATTTTTAATTTTTAAATCACAATAAATAAGTACTATCGAAAGCAAATATCAAAATATTTGTTACAAAAATATTTAAATTCGTAAACAGAATTGTTTTATTTATATATAATCAGAGTATAAATTCTCTTTATCTGTGATCGAGTGTCATCAATCGATCGATTCAGCAAATTTACTGTTCATTAGATAGTAACTTCACTAAATTCGGTTGTAACTTCCGATTTAATTAATTGAAGAAAATTTATTGATGTAATTAAGTATGATATTTAATATGATAACTACTTGGAGAAACCAAAGGTATGTTCTTTCACATAGAATTAAATTTTAAAGTTTCTTGCAGTCAAGTATATAAGCATAGAAATCCCAAATATTATAAATAAGTAAATGTGCTTTACGTATTGATAATACTCAGGGGATCTTGAAATATGGTAAAATGCAAAAAAATCAGTTTTTTTTTTTTTTTTTTTTTTTTTGTATGTCTGGATGTTAGTTTTTGTGGAGGCACGATTTTCTTCACCCTGTTTGAAGTTAATAACTCCTGTTCTTTTTGCCTAAGTTTTCAGAAATATCACTGGGAGGTTTGTACATAAGGGCGATTGATGCTGTTAGATTTTGGTGGTTAAAAGTGACACGGTGGGGAAATAGAAGGTTCTATGTCATATATCGAAAAGTGTCGGATTGAATGACGATTTTACTCGTTGTTATCGTTTACGGTTTCTGATAATACCCAGCAATGGTTAAATTAGATACTGCAATGCAACACTTAGACTTTTATATATAAATTATTCTATTTATGATAACACGAAGCGCGTTATGGTAAAATAATTCTGTTAATTACTACGAAGGATCACCAAGAACGATCAGGAATCAAACCAGTGTTATCATACATTTTTAAAATTTAAATCCATAAATTATTCCGAAATCCTTAGTCATGCTGTCTGTTCTATTGTACCTCAATGAAATCTACTTTAGGTATCCAATTTATGTAATAGAACTTTTTAATACAAATAAAAGACGCTTTAAAAATTCTAGACGATCACCATTTTATTTTCTTTAGTGTTCCAGAATAGACCATAGACAGCCAGACCTTCCTTTTTAGGCTACTCAGCTGTCCATTTTTGAAAAAGTTCCTTAAAAGCTCAGAAAACCAATAAAAATTTAAAATTTTCTTGAAATTGGAAATGGTAAATCTTACGACATCTTAATGGTTTCATCCTTATCCGTTCCGGGTTTCGGTAATAGAACTTTAACGATTAAGTGCCACAATGGAAAAACTTTTGGTACTAATTGATGTATTGAAAAACACTTCAAGCACTTCATTCATTTAATTAATAACACACTCCATAAAAAAATTCAATGTAATCAACTACACTTAAGCATTTTCTTCATATTTTAAAATGAAATTACTAAATATTTTATATTTACAGGTTGTTAATTACTCTCCTTTTAAGCATGCTAAACCTTATTCTATCGGAAAACTACAGGAGTCATTCAAGTAATTATTTGATCGAGAAATTTACAGAAAACATTAATAATTTCATCTAAAAGAACTTTTGTATAATTCTTATAGGAATAATAATGCCACGGATGATTGGAGGCACTCCTGCTGAAGAGGGTGAAGTACCATTTATAGTAAGATCTAATAAGATTTATGTATGAAAAAGATTCGTAAATCATAATACAATAAATTTATTCTTTTGTATATTTTTAATTACAGATGGCTATTTTCCATAGAGGGATCTTTAAAGGATCATTTTCATTGATCACTACCACAACAGCAGTTGGAGCTGCCCACGTCATATATCAGTAAGTTTAACCAATTTAGTATTTTAATATTTAAAACTCGGAAAACTCCACACAGCCAATCTGATAGTCAGATGATAACCCGTAACCAATTATTCGACATCAGTAAAAAATAGAGGAGAAGGTGGTATTATGGAACACTGCGGGTATTATGGAATCACCTCATTTCGAACTGATAATAAAGGCGAACTGTAGCGGAATGTGGCTGTACTGAACTAGGCAGACAACCATAGCAAGGGGAAAATCTGTTTTACTTCAGTTAAACGGTTGTTCGCATTTAATCAGCAAATTTGTTTTTTTCAAAATTCGCAAGTTTTGAATGCTAAATGAATTTAATTATTTTTAAAATATAAATCGTGTAGTTGTAGGTTCACTGGTGCATGTATTCCGTTCCAGAGACTTAGGGATACATATTAATCTATGTGATGTTCACGTTTTTTAAATTTTGGTCTTGACAGACATAAGTTAATTCGAGATGGCGATGCGTGAAATACGGACCCCACTGGTGCTTTTACAGTAATATGGAACTCAACTCCTCCGAACTTTCTATTTGCAAGCAGACATTCCTCCAGAGCAATTTGTGAAAAAGACACTAAGTAGAAAGCCAATTCTTCCCGAGAACATCGAAAAAGAGCTGCTGGAATATATATTGTTGATGGAGGTCATATTTTTCTATTATAAAAGCATTTTTGCGATAAAATACATTGGAGTAAATAATTTGGTAATTATTTAACATTTGTTGTCCTTTCCTATTTGTTTTTGGCTACATTAAAGCATTTTTTTGAAAATATACAGTAAGGTTCCATATTACCACCCGATTTTCTCTAAGCCTACTTTCGGACTTTTTGTACAAAAGCCTTCAAAAACCATACTTATAATTACACTAGCGAAAAATCCAATTAGGAACATTTAGTTTACTAGTTACCAGTACTTTTCGCACAAAAAATGTGGGTGTATTTACGATACCTTGTTTACAATTCACTAAAATATAATTGGGGTTCCATAATACCACCTTCTCCTCTATAATAAAAAAAAAAAAACTTGAGTTCTGCACTTGTGCCATATGAAACAATGCGTACATTTAAATCAATAATATTCTTAATTCTAAATTAAAAGAATTGGCGGATGGAGGTAACTAAGATTTTCGTGAAATTTGAGTTAGTTGTGAGCAAGGAGATAAACGCTTATTTATCTCATTATAAAAAATTCAAGATGTTATCTTCTTCAATTCTGCAGTTTGATGGTAGAAGAAAATGGTATACGACATAGATGTAACGTATCATTGGTAGAAGACAGAATAAGTACATTTACCACATTTCTTCCACGATACCAATTGTATTTACCGCCGTTTGCCACGGTCTGCCTCGCAACAGCCAGTTGGTGCTAACATCTTATTTTTTTGCTAAGCAGCATCCTGCTTTGCATGTGAATGCTTTCGCATTGCGCTTGTGAGCTGACATTTTCACCGAGGATAAAAGATCATTGACTTCAGAATGATGTCTTTACGAGATAAACCTGTCAGACATGCTTAGAGTAAGTTGATCGTGTTAGAGAGGGCAAAACACGACATGAAAGTAATACCGATTCTGGAAACGATGCTGACAACAACGCTGGCGTCCATCGAGGCTGTAAATCTGATAGTTCGTGGTTTCCATTTGCACATTGCACATGAATGTTAAATCCGAAAATAATACATTTATATTAAATACAATAAAACCTGTATAAATTAAATAACATGATACCAAATTTTTTTGTTTAGGAGGTACCGTTTTAGACAGGTTCCTTTTTAAACATGTTTTTTCTTTACATATTTGAACAAATTTAAATTATTCTGTATACGGAAACTAAATTATAATTTTTAATATATTTTTAGTTCATTGGTGATATACATTTACGGAGCCGTTGGAAACATTAACAAATACAAAGGTTCCTTGGTGTTTTTCAAAAGAAAAATTATACATCTTAATTATGATCCGGACACATTCGAAAATGACATTGCTCTTTTAATTCTGAAAAAGTCCATCGAAAGTACACCAACATTATATCCAGTAGCAGTAGCTGATAGAAACCAAACATATACTTCAGGATACGCTACCTTAGCAGGATGGGGAAGGATAGGAGAAAGTAAGTTATTTTCTTAAGTTAAACAATTGTTTTGCTATTATATAAGTATATAATATTAAATTTCTTTTATACGATGATAAAATTTAGACACAACTAGCGATCTTCAAATAGCAGTTGTAAAGCTCGCGGACCCATCCTCATGGCTGACACATTTTAAATTTCCTTTAAAAAAAACTGAAATCATTTCGAGGGATTGGGGAATTTCAGCAATGAAAGTAAGTCTAAAGTTATATAAATATTTTAATTTGCCTCATAAAGAATATATTAATACAATTTCAGGGTGATTCCGGTTCTCCTTTGATACGCAGAAATCAATTTGGAAGGCAAATTCTGATCGGTGTGGTTAGCGCAATGGGCCAATCTACGCGTGTCATAATTTACATGTCGACTAGTTTTTATCACGATTTTATCAAAGATAATAGTGAGGGTGAAGTGACATTCCTGTGAATCACAGTGTCATTTATTCGTGGTCTCAGTATAAACTTTTCTCCGAAATGTTATTTTACGTATTCAGCCTAGCAAGAGACTTTGACATTATTTTTCAATCACGTACCAATTACATTTATAACTAAATTCGCTTAGACTGAATTAATTTTTTAAATAAATTTATAATTATTATTATACATAAGGAGTTCAAAAATAGCAATTTTATATTTACCATAGATCAATGCGAACTCGTCAGTAGGGGAATGAATAAAACCACTGAATACAGGTAGCAGTCGTGTGTTCACCCCTCGCCAGCAAGCTGGCTACGTGGAGTTTTCGGGTTTCCTTCTTAAATAGTGGGTCAGTTTTCATGGAAAGTTCTTGCAGAAGGCATTCCTCATTGGTAGTTCGATTAAATACTTTATTCCGTTACCTTACCCTATTAAACCAAGCAATTAAAAAAGAAAAGAATGAAAATAGGAGGTGCAAAGTGTACTTTCTATATAATAGATCATACGCTTTATGTAAAATGCTTTGTTTGGTAGGCCCTACCAATTTTTACAGCCGAATCATCGTATCTTGTTTATACAATGTTGAAAATTTCACTAAATTTTTCCAATAAAATAATTATGGCTATTCTCAACTTGTAACATTAAAAAATCTTTAAATATTAAAAGCACATGGTGGTCCAAAAGTCAGTTAACCATTGTAAAGATAAAATTCTTGTCATGCTATTAAATATAATTATACAGGAAACATACAGACATATATATAGACAGGTATATATACAGTACATTATAATTAAAATTATAAAAATATATATTTTATTGAAGTGCAGTGAAGGAGAATAACTTTGAAAAATTCTCCTTCACTGCAATTATGAAAAAGGGTATGCCTCCTCGGAGGACTTTAATTAGAAATTGGCCTTATTTAGGTGTTACAAACTGTGCAGAATATCCGAATACTCTAAATATCCATCTCTTTGATGAAGTGCGAGGTGTTCAATAGTTTAATACAATTGTGTGCAAACTATTTTCATTTCCGACCCCCATTTTGTGTAAAATTTTCTTGCGATCCATGGATAGATAAATGTTTTTTTTTTTATCTTCAACGTAGTTAAATTGAAATTCTTTCTGGGATTTGCGCTTTCGTTTCTGCCTTATTACAGGTCTGAATAAAACACAATTTTATGAAACGGTTTTATTTATGTATATAAGTATAAATATTATTTAATAAAAAATACTTTTAAAAGTACTTTACACCATAAGAATTCAATGTGAGGTATGCGCTTGCAAAGAGTTTGATTGCTTGTATGTTTGGATTTGTATTGGAAATCGCAAACCGTAAGTCATCCACTGTCTGTATTAGGTACCAACATAGACAACTGTTTTCGTAAAGAAATATAATTCTATTTTACTATTACTTGAAACTAGTTGAAAATAGCCTTATATTTTTTATTGACAAATAAATTTCTTTGAATTTGGCGACCCCGAAAAATTTTCTCTCGACTACCAGAGGGGTTGCGATCCACGATACGCGAACCAGTAGTTTAATTCACTCGTTCATTGGTGAGCTACACAGCTTTTTTATCTGTATTCATTTCAATATTTTGTTATTATTGTTCCGTTCCTTAAATTTTAAAATAATAAAACAGGAAATCTTCCTTAATTATTTTGAGAGAAAGAAGCGCATAGATTACGTGTAATTAATTAAAATTAAAATTAAAATCTTGAGAAAATAAATACAATATTTAATTACTTGATACGAAATTTTTATGTTTGTGAACTTGGACCAAATTTGAATAGAAAACTTAGACAATAGAACATTTTTCCTTTTTAGAATATCGTAAATGGAACATAATTAAATTAAATAAACAAAAATAAAAAAAAGGCACAGACTCCATATGCAGTCAGTTTACTGCAGTTTTGATTAGTTGTGGTGTATGTCCTATAACAACGATGCCCAACCCTGTGACTGGCGAGCCGCATGCGGCTCTTCAAGAGCACTAATTCGTACCCTGAACACTGGGAGTTCGGTCGTGGGTTCGCGTCTCGCTCGGACAGGCTGGCCACGTGGAGTTTTCCGGGTTTTCTCCACGCCTATAACGCTTAAATGGGGGCCAGTTTCCCTTAAAAGACCTCCCGGAAGACATCCCTCCTAAGCAGATCGCCCAAGTGTTGCGTTGCATTAATAAAGAAACAAACAAACAAATCAAGAGTATAAATAAAAAACATTTGTTATTTTTTAAAATTTCATTACAAACATTACAAATTTTGAACTTTTACCTTCAACTAGCAAAAAGTAAATAAAATGTAATAAATAAGTAAAAATTGTCAAAATAAATACATTATGATTCTGAATTTTATTTTTTCATTTTCATACCAACTGTTGCTCCCAATGTTTTCAGGTAGGTAACTAGANCTTTATTATTTTTTAAAATTTTATCACAAACAGTACAAATTTTATACTTTTACCTATTTTCAGGTAGGTAACTAGGGCTCTTACAGCAAAAAGTCTGGACACCCCTGTACTGTGATATTAACATATCGATTCCTTTTTGCCTGTATTTAATTATATAATTTAAATATATATATATGGTTTAATTATATAATATAATAATTTAATAATTCAAGAAACTTTGAGAAATTAGTTTAAATGATTATACATATGTAAACGCATTGAATTTTCACATAGAACTGTCATTTACTTGTCAAATAATTAAAATTAATGTTTCAAGCCTCATGAGTACAGTTGTTTTTTGTTGTTGTTATTGTTCAAGAAGTTCCTTAAACATCGTTGAAAATCGAGTATGACACTCCTGTCAGGTAGTTGTCACTCAGTAAACAGGCATAACCATGTGACAACACATAACAGAATAGGATCTACTAACACATTACTTATCGTTAACAAATTCCTGTGAATTATATATCACTACAATACTTTCAATATTAGAATATTATATATTAAAAACTATACGTAGAATATGATACCAGTTTCGTTTCTGGAAAGCAATGGCGAACATCCTATAGGTTTGTTCCCTCCCAATTCCATAAAAGCAGACAGAACGGAATATAAACTACTAAGAATCTAGTAAAAGAAATCAAGTTAATGAAGGCGCCATATTTATAACTGAAACAGCACGAATAAACTTACTTTTACAGGAATTTTTTTTTGACATGAAAGCAATCAGCAATGGAAATTCCAACTGGATTATTTTTGAACCTCTTCATAAAATCCAGCGTATAATTAATAATAAACAAATATAAAAATGTCCTTTCCTAAAAATATGTAAGAACTTACCTTCAACTTGTAAACGATAGAAAATCTTGCCGGTGATAACTTATTTATTTCCATGAAGTCTCCATAAAGCTGAAATAAAACGAAACTGTCATAAGGGTAGTTTTTTTAAGTGGAAATATTAAATGTTTGATCTTACTCATGATGTAAATTTGGAAAATACGATAGCTATAACTGTTAAACAGATAACGCTATATATAGAGAGCATTATAGAGATTGCCATGTAAAGGTTGGTAAGTCAAAGTACAAATAAGCCGCAATCAGAATACTAAGAATATATATGTTATAGAGATACATGATACCAAAAAAACAAGTCGAAACGGTCATTCACACCATTAACATACTCAATTAATTTCGTATACTTGTGAGGCTCCGGAAGTCGGTCGAAATTCGCGCAAGATAATGTTTTAATTTCGTATAAAAAAAAGTGTTTTTTTTTATTATTATTATAATATATATTGTAAAAAGAAACCGTCTAACACAAGGTGAATATATTATGTCCATATATAGTCATATCTGTAGAAATTTCTGAGAAAAAACGAATTTCTCAGAAAGAAACAATAGATGAATTTGAGTACTTAGATCGAACATCTTCGATAGGAATCAAATTGTCAGTCGGGGGGACTCATCCCGCGATCTGGGCTCCGATCCCGTTACAATTCGTAACGAGGAGGGAGACCAATTACAGAACGGGGGCAGATCGACATCGCCCTATCGGAATGTTCGATCTGGGACTCAGAAAAACTTATAAAAATCGCGCAAAAATGGGAAGTGACGTTCTTGGTTCTAAGTTCGGTGTGCTCCGCTTCTGGATTTTTCCTGCGGTTCGTCGTCCCGAAAGAAGTTTTCGCCATCCTGTCCCAGCAACTTTCGCCAAGGATAATCTACTGTGAGAATCACCCCTTCAAGTTGTGCTGTGCACCCCGGAGCCTACGTTTTCCTCATCATCTTCGCCAAAAGAAGAGAAGATCGTAAGATTGAACTTTGAACTGATTCACTCTGTGGATAGGCCTTACGCCGAAGAAAACAGTAGTTGTAAGAGAAATTTTTATATTTAATAAATAGTTTGCGATGGAAGACCTGTCTCAGTAAGTTTTTCCACTCCCACACGACAGTGCTGACCGCTCGACTGTCGCGACACTTTTTCCCCAATCGGCAAACCTCGCACTGGTGTCCCAGAAGTGGGATTTTAAGTCCCCAATTTCCACCGGGTCAACGACCTCGCACTGGTGTCAGCAAGCGGGATTTTTCTGATTGTTTTTGCAACATTTGCAAACAATTTCAGTCCCACAATAATTGTTGAGGCAGCCGAGAGAAAAGTGGGAAGGAACTATGGAAACAGAGACAGGCTCTCCAGCGCCAACTCGCGACTTAGGAGGCGGCTCGCTTAGCGCCCTTTCAGCCTTTAGTGGGATGATACCTACGTTCTCGGGAGACGTGGGGCGCGTAACAGATTTTTTTGATACGTTAGGAGAAGTCGCAGGATTAGCAGGTTGGACCCCTAAACAATGTTTAAGCATCGCTAAGTGTAAATTGACAGGGATAGCGAGAGATTTTGCGTGGCGCGACCTCCAAATGAAAGAAGTAACGGAGTACGCAACTTTTAAACGCCTAATGATAACTAGGTTTGACCAAGAACCATATTCCATTAAGGTACAGAAATTCCACGCGTGTACGCAGCGCAAAGACGAAAGAGTTCAAGAATTCGCCGTTAGGTTACAAACGTTAGTTAGCGCGATAATCGTAGATCAAACCGGGACAAACGAGCAAGAGAATGCCGTTATCAAGCGGTGTCAGCAGAGAGAATTGGACGAGAAACTCCGCATTCAATTCTTGCACGGCTTAAATGAAAAAATGAAGCGCAACGTAATGACACATGATCCAGCTACATTTTCAGAAGCTTTAAAAATAGCGATAAGAGAGGAAACAATTGAGCAATTGACTAGCAAACAGCGAAATTATATAGGAAACGTAGAGGAGTCGGCAGAGAATTCCCGAACTAAAGCTGACAAAACAAAACCCTGTAAGGAAGAGGCATTAGAAGCGAAAATTAACCAAATCGCTAAACAGATAGAAACTTTAGGGAAGAGATTAGACAATCGGTCCTCGACAGCGCAAACAACTAGTGCGCGAGGAGGAGAATTTAATCAAAATAGACGAATGACGACATCCGCGATGCGAGAGAGACAGGAAGTAGGAAACCCCAATACCTATTCGAGCTCTCCGCGCCGTTTTGGACAGCCCCAGCGCTCACAACAACCACGTTTTCCTACAAATAACCGACCGTCATTGAATTATTCCGTTCAGACCCCTTCGAGACGATACTCGGGATATAATTCACTTCCTTTTAGGTCAAATTACGAATGGGGACCGACAAATTATCGGCAATTTAATCCAAATTGGTTAGAAAGTGGAATTTATGCGTCGCCCCCACTACCCGATTGGTATAGAGGAAACACCGTTCCTCCACCCAATCGAGGGGAGTGGAGAGTAAACCCTAACGCTCCAGAATGGCGGGTTCCTGGTATAAATAATCCCTTTTCATCGCGATATCGGGAACAAATGCCTTTTTATCGAGAACAGTATAGACAGATGGGACCCAAAGACGATCAGGACTTTGAATATTTGCCTTTTAACCCGATGTCTTACGCACAAGGCTGGTTTCGAAACGACACTAATGCCGAGCAGTCCTTAGACAACGCGACCGTTCCTAAATATTTAGCGTTGCCTAGTCCTGAGGAAAGCCTACGGCAAGCAAACAATGTATCACAGGAGTTAAATAAGGATAACGTAGGGTTTAATCGTAACGGAAATAGAATAACTTCGGTGAAAACGAAAGAACAATGTCGAGATTTAGAGCAAATAATAGATTATCCGCGCGAAGCTACTCGTTTATCGGGTGTTGGAGAATCTAAATTGATAGATAGAGATTCACCCCCTTGCACTTTAGTCTGTGAAATCGAGAATAAAAGGGCGAAATTAACAATAGATACAGGTGCAGCAGTTTCTTTAATATCAAAAGATTTTTTTTCGAACTTACGTGAGTTAAAGAAAGCTGAAACCAGAGAGGTAGAATTACTTAGTGTCACCGGACACACGATAGACACGATCGGAAAATTCGATTTAGCATTTAGAATTGGGCAATTGAACTTTAGACACGATTGTTATATAGTGGATCCCAAAATAACAGAACCTAATAACGGAATCCTAGGTAGAGACATAATCGAAAAGTATGACCTTACAATTTCTATAAAAAATGCGAAGCTCATTTTCCCTACAGGTAACGAAGTTACAATCTGGGGATTGGCAAACCTTCATAATAATGTTAATAACCCACGTAACCTAAGTGAAGATGCTAGTCAGTTTGCAATGATAGAAAGACAAAAGAATGGGAAGGATGGTTTATATCAAAGGGATTTAAGGGATTTAACCCGAACGAACGGTAATAGAGAGAATAGCAAAACGGGAAATAAGAAAAAACAAAAAGGGAACAGTGCGCGAACAAAACAATCAAAGAAGAGAATTAAGATAGGCACATTTTTCAAAACAGAAAACGAGAAACAAAACAAAACATCGCAATCAAATGTTAACCCAACGCAAGGCTTTTCCTGGACGCTCACGAAAGCACACGCTAATGCGGATGCATTAAGTCGAGTACCTATAGCTCCAATAAATGAGATGCGCCCAATATATAGTAAAGCTCAGATTCGGGAACAACAGTTAGAGGACTCTTTTTGTAAAGAAATTAGACGACGTCTAGCGGAAAACACATCCCCGCAGGAACAGCGTCTGAACACAGATAG